AAAAAAAAAAAAAAAAAAAAAAAAAAAGTACACAATTTGTTTTCATGGACTCCTTTTTTTTATTTTCCCTTTTTTTTTCACTTTAAATACAAAAAAAGAGAAAGTTATAACAAATTACATTGTGAAACAAGCATGATTATAGAGCATGGAAAACATGAATGAAGGAAAAAAGCTACGTACGTAAAAAAAAAAAAAAAAAGATATCTTTTTACGTTTTGTTTTTAATTTCGTAGAATATTGTACACGTGTACTTTGTGGGACACCCTGATCCTTAGGAGACGAAAAATGCAGTGGGTGTGTAAAAGTGGGCACTATAAGTGGAAATGAAATGAAAAAAATGGGAAAAAATGCAGCACTAATATGCTGCGAAGGGGGGAACGCCGGCATCAATAGCGCATAAGCAAAACTCTATATGGCAGCACTCTGGCAGAAGTGTGGCCGCAATAGAGCAGTAGAAATGAAGCAGAAACGAAGAAAATTAAACACAAGTGCGCGTACCAGTGGAACCACCCCCACTTTGGAGCAACAGAATGTGTTTCACACAAAAATTATCCCATTAGTTCAACTAAGGTCGGAACAAACAGAAAAAACACAGGGGAAATGTACGGAAAACAAAAATGCCTCACATGTTTTTTGGTTGCTTTTTTATTTTTGCTTGTCTTATATATAAATAAAACAAATTCCTGCGAGTAGGGAAAGAAAAAAAAAAACGCCCATGTAATAATCCTCGCATAAGGGAAAATATAAGAATTTTACGATAAAAAAAATGCAGAAAAAAGGTTAGAAATGAAATGTAAGAGCAGAGAAATTGACAAAAAAAAAAAAAAAGAAAAGATTATGCAGAAAATTTGATGTATATACGCACCTTAAAATTTTTTTTTTTCCATTCTCGGAAATTTGTAGAATTCAAAAAATGTACGCATGTGCATAGTGTATATATGCGCAGTATGTATACAGGAATTTTTTTTTTTCGTAAAAATTTCTCATAGAATTATTTCGATTGGCACAAAATCCGCCATACTTTGCACACTATTTTTACATAGAAAGGTTGAAGAATGCTTCTTACACTTTTTATATAAAAAAAGGAAGAAAAAGATAAGCATAACGAACATACATGGTTATTTACACCTTTTCATGTGGTTTTCAAAAAAAGGGACACTACACGAATGTGCACATGGAAGGAATTTCTTTTCCTTTTTTTTATCTCCTCATGTTTGTTTTTTATCGAATATGACGCTATTTATATTGTTTTCTATTTTTTTTTTTTTTTTGTTTTCTTTTTGTCGATTTCGCATAAATGTAAGAAGAAATAAAATAATGTGCACAAGGAATAATTGAAAACGCTTAAATATTTATAATACCAAGTGCTCTATCACAGGAATTTGTGTACCAGGACTGTTATTTCTACACTTGGCTGACTAAAAATGTACATGCTCTCATTATGCGACCACACGTGTAGCATCTCTTGTCCTTCAAAAAAAAAAAAAAAATCAACCAAGACAACAGCGACGACATAATGTGCGTGTTACAATAAGCATAAATATGTAACCCGCTTATTATGGCATTTAAAAAAAAAAAAAATTAAATTGCTCAAAATAGGAATTGTTTTTTCCAAAAGTTGAAATGTTATGTGCGTCAAGCGTTTGTCGCCTTTTATGGCTACATAGAAATTTGGGCGATTGGCGAGCTGGCCGTTTGCTAGTTCCGCTGACGTGTGCAAGCGTGGCTTTTTGCACGCACGAAAAAAAAATGGTGAAAAATGATGAGAATTGGAAAACAAAAAAAAAAAAAAAAAAAACA